CATAGGTGGATCTATGGTTTGTTTACCTCCTCGAGTGGTAATTGCCATACAATGTCCATCATTCTTTGGATTCTGGATGGTATTGCTCGGAAGAGTGCCAGGTTGACGCGGGTTCACTGTAGTAGACAACTGCGTCATTTGTTGCTCTAGATGCTTTATTGACACTGCATGGGCGTCAACCTTTTGACCAATACCAGATAAGTCATTTCTCATCTCTTTCACGTTCTCATCTGTTGTATCAAACCTTCTCATCATCTTATGCAGCATATCTTCGATACGCGTCATATTTCCTCCAACTTCCCTAGCACCAGATTCCCGATTTTGAGGGGGAACATAGGGTCCAACCCGATCATTTCTATTGCCATAGTTGTTCCTGTTGTAGTTGTTGTCGCGATTGAAGTTCCCATCTCGGACATAGTGACCCTCTCGGTTGTAATTTCCATAGTTCCGACCTTGGTTCCCTTGACCTTGGCGCCAATTTTCCGTGTTGGATCCTTGGGCGTTTGGTCGGAAACCCCCCGTCTGATCGTTCACCGCATAAGTGTCCTCTTCATAGTAACACTCCTCAACTGGTGGTGGAGTTCTAGTTAAGTAGTTTACAGCATTCACCTTTTCTGCTCCTCCACTCACATGCTTCAATACTAACCCCAACTCTGTCCTCATCTGAGCCATCTCCTCACGGATATCATCTGTAGAGTTAACAGTTGCATTATGAACGGCAAATGTGTTTCTCCCAGTATCTGTCCTCCTAGTGCTCCATGCTTTATTGTTGCGAGAGATCCTCTCCAGTTTTTCAGAAATCTGTGCATATGTACAATCACCATATGAACCTCCAGCAATAGTGTCAAGAACGGCTTTATTGTTGTCATCCTGTCCTCTATAGAAATATTCCTTCAGCGACTCTTCATCAATACGGTGATTTGGAACACTTCTTACGAATGCAGTGAATCTGTCCCACGAGCTGCTCACAGACTCCCCAGGTAATGCTACAAAATTGTTGACCCTATCTTTGTGATTGAGCTTTTTAGACACCGGATAGTACTTTGCTTTAAACACTTCCGCCAATTGGTCCCATGTGAATATTGAGTTATAAGGAAGCTCAGTGAACCATACTGCAGCATCACCTGTCAGTGACAGAGGGAACACTCGTAACCCAATGACGCTCATATCCAAGTCTGGTCTACCTACACAACTTTGCAAACCACCCTGAGCTTGGCTAAGTGAGCATGTGGATCCTCCGATGGCGATCCTGAAAATAAGCCTCTTGCTGTAAGCATCTGCATCAAACTACTAGTCACCACAAATGTGTGCCCTGGAGGTAGAGGAGGTAGGACAATAGGTCCATCAGAGTCTGCTATATCGATGTTGCCCCGATAGTTGTCATGCGGTTGTGGGCCTTGCACTCTCACTGCATCTCCCAATTGATTTTCAGCTACACCCCGGTTTTCCCCACCAACTACTCTTGGCTGCTGTAACTCAATTGCTTCATCTAGATTTCCTCCGATAGGATGAACTGGAAGTCCTTGATTATTCATTCTTCGCAAAGTTCTGTTCAACTCTGGATCGTATGGAGTGAGTGGTTCGCCTTGGCTCCGTGTACTTGGCATACACTAGGGTCGGAACCTGAGAGAGACAAAAACAAAGAAAAAAATAAAATAAAATTAGGAAATATTTGACTAACGTTCAATATTGTAGTTAAAACTAAATCTAAAAGCCAAAAGTCCCCGGCAGCGGCGCCAAAATTTGACACGCTCAAATTACACTTCCTTTCAGAAGCATAAGCGATCGTTATCAAGTAAAGAACCCAACTTGTAGGTTGAGGTCGATCCCACGAGGAAAATGGTTTAGACTTTACTTTTAACCAACAATTATATTCAATTAGTCAAATTATTTCCAGAAACAGGTAATAAAAGGGGGTTTGTGCTTGTGTGAAACAAATAGTAAAAACTTAGTAAGTAATCAATAATTAAACTCAACTTTGGTTGTTATCAAGATAAGAGAAATAACTAGGGTATACGTGTTCCCCATAATCTCATAACGCAGTAATCCTAGTAATAGCAATCCTTTTCTAGTATGTTACATGCAAAGTGATAAGTTAGGTATCTCTAAATCCTTGGTCCGGCATCTAGAGAATTTCATCCCGCACCTTGGTCCGGCTACGTGTGTATAATTTACTAACCCTTACCTTTACCTCATATTAGACATCATAATCGATGTTTGGCTTAGTTATTACTTCGCACCAATCGACACTAGCCTATTAGATAGTATCACACTAAATCTATGTTGATAATTCTTTTCTTGTTAATTACCTCCTTGGTCCGGCAAGTAGTAACAAGGCGAGTTCTAACGCGTGCACTCGTTAAAAAGACTTCTAAACGAAAGAATTATCAATACATGCAAAATACTATTCAAGAATTGCTTATTTACTATTCATACTTTGTTAATCGATCATGGTTCCCACAACCCTAGTTGTGGATTTAGTTACCCATACTAGCAAGAACACAATTCATAATTGTAGATGAAGAAATCATGAACTTACTTAAAGAAAATAATAAACCCAGAAAATTTACTTGAATTGCAAAGCCAAAATCTTCAAAACAAACTTTAGAAATCAATAATTGCTAGGGTTGCAAATTAATCTCCAAAGTTACAAAGCAAAAATAGAATAATAGTGTCTAACCCTCAAAAACGAGGTTTACATGTCCTATTTATAGAAAACAAATCCTAAATAAAAAGGGAAACAAATTAAGGAAAGTTTTGTTCAGGTACGCGTCTTCGATCCACGAGACTGACTTACGGACCGTCGATCTATCTACGGTCCGTAAGTCACTTCCGTCACTCGGGACTTAGAAAATATTTCATCTTCCAAAAAATCATCTTCTCTGAAGCAAACGACGGACCAACAGTACGGACCGTAGATCGACCTACGGTCCGTCAATACCTTCCGTAGCTCCATACTTAGCATTTTCAAAAATCAGGTACTGGAACCCTCGCAGTCTCAATCTACGGATCAACAGTACGGTCCGTAGATCAATCTACGGACCGTCAATGGGCACCGTGGTTCCACACTTGGTCAGATTTCCCTGATTTGTCCTCAACACTTTCCTGCTGATCTACGGTCCTCACCTACGGACCGTGAATGGACCTACGGTTCGTAGATGACCTCCGTGGATGCCCTTTTCTGCATTTTCTTCAGTTGTCTCTAAACTTTCGCGCCTGAACACCTTTCCTGCAAAACATGATAAAACACATAAAAACCAATATAAAAAGGCCCTAGACACACACAACTTGTAAGTGAAATGTATTAGAAATACCGTAAACTCACGGTATATCAGTGCCCACTCCGTGTGTCGCCGAGTGGGTCGGCGAGCAAAACTTATGTCACCGAATGGGCGAGAACTGGACGGTTTTTATGGCCAATGGTTCAAAAGTTAAAACTTTTTCACATTCCCTCACTTTTCAAATTTTCAAAATCACATCCGCACTTTAGTATTCTATATTTTTGTGTTTTTATATTATTTTAGTCATCAAGTTTATGTTCGGAGTTGGATACCGTTGCCACCTAGCTTTACAAAGTATTTATTCGGCTTCAAAAGTTAGTTTTCCAAACCCCGAATCTATATTTAGTGATTTGTACTCTTTTGCAAATGATTGTTATCTTAGTGATGTGTGTTGGGCCTCCATGATCGTAATTGTATATGTGTGTGCTTGTTTTACTTCGAATATCTTGCCCATAATGCCGTGATTGTTGAATTCTCGAGTATTTTTATGCCTTAAAATAGATTCAAATTGTGCGGTTGTGCTTGCATGTTGTTGGGTCTAGTCGGGTGAAGTCTAAGTAACCCGCATTTGTGCCAAATGACGTAATTTTACCAATTATAGAGTGGTTGACCTCATTCTTAAGGGAAAAAGTCGTTAAATGGCCAAATTTGACCAAATCAGGAGAAGTGTGAGTATCCCGGGGGAATGGGTGTATTGGGTCTTAGTTTAATTGAAATAGTGCATGGTTTGATTTTGTTCTCGGGGGCTGAGGGGTTGAATTTGGAAGATGGGGCTGAGAGTAGGCATGTTGGGTCATTTGGTGAGCTGGGTCGAGCTCGCCGAACCACTCAGCGGTTCACTGAATTCCCCTTCTCGCCTTTAATTTCATGCTAAATTTGGAGTTTAGATTCTATAACTTTCGACGAGAAGCCTGAGTTCGCCTAGTGCACTTGGTGACTCGCCGAAAGCCCTTCTTAATCACCCTTTTTGCGCCCCTAACCCCTAAAATGCATTGTAACTTTCGGCGGTCTAAGCCTTGTTCGCCGAATGTTGTAGGCGATTCACCGAATGTTGTTGGTGATTCACTGAAAGGTCCTTCCCATCGCTGACATGCCATTTGTCTGAGAAAATTTTGAGCCAATCCTTTCGGTGAGCCCGACCTGGCTCGCCAAAGTGATTCGGTGACTCACCAACTGGTTCGGCAAGTCTGCAAACAACTATTTTTCTGCAATTTGGCTTGAATTATTCCTAACTTTCTCTGATGTTTTGCAGACATGGCTAGACCAAAGGTTTATGTTAGAAACATTCCACCCCGCAAGCAGGCCAAGGGTATAAAGATCAACGAGGATGCAGCTGCATCCAAGGCGAACGATACCAAACTTCCCATAATAGGTGGGAAGGGAAAAGGAAAAGGGAAGGCACCTGCGTCACTGGAGGCCAGCTCCAACAATGACGGTATCTATGCCACTCACCTCACTACTTCTGAGAGTGAGGGTGAGCACCAGGAGCATTAGGCTGCCACTTCTGAGCCTAAGGATGATCTAGTAGAAGCACAAAGAGAAGAGCTGCATTCCAAGACGCTAAATGATCCGTCTAGGATCAGGACATCCCAGCTCCCTACTTTTTCTCCCACTCTAGCACAGGATGTGGTCCTAGCACCACCAGTACAGGGCCCTCCCCCACGGTCTATGAACAGACTGAAGACTGCGGGGCATATGACAATCATTGAAGAAAAGAGGCTATCCATTGATGGAGTCATCGACAAATATCTAGAGATTATAAGTTGCTTGAAGTTCCACAAATTCTAGCTCTTCACCAATCCCCGTGGTCCATACATTCCGAGTTGGGTCAGAGAATTCTACAGTGCTTACAGTTCC